GAGGCCCTGGGTTCGATTCCTCAGCACCACAGAACCAAACAAGAAAAAAGCCAGAAGGGGTGCTGTGGCTCAAGTGGTAGAGCGCTAGCCTTGAGCTGAAGAGCTGAGGGACAGCGCCCAGGCCCAGAGTTCAGGCCCCACGACCAGACCGCCCCCCCCCAAAAAAAGAAACAAAAATTTTACATCTTATTTGCATACATTAACAGTGAATATCCATTGGCACAGCATGAGGCAAGAACTGATAAATAATTTGTGCCAATAAATAATCACATGTGCAAATATATAAAATCATACCACAGACACTAAGCCCATGAGCTTACCAAACATAACAGATCTTTTGTTTGGTGCAATTCCATCATGTAAACTATAAAAGAAGTAATACCTAGTACAGGGACGCACACACTGACCCAGTATCAGACCATCCAGCTTATGTGTCAAGGATTTACAAGTGCCTAAGTCCCAACTCTATCCTGGAAGTTTCAGCTCAGGTCAATCCTCAGCTTGATTTCACCCACTCACTTATTCTTCAGGATGAAGTGTGCCTGAAAATCATCTTTAGACCCAAACTCAACTCTTTTTGAAATAAGTTGTGTACCTTGAACCAGAATGTCACTGGAAACAACTCTGATTTTTGACACCACCTGGCCTCAACAGCTCAGTGACAGCTCTGTTACTGGGCAGTATCTTATCTGGCCATAAGCTCTTGCCCTTAGGCAAGGCCTCTTGAAACCCTGTGCCCACCAGTTTAACCCTTTCCTAGCCTACATTGCTCGTTACTTCGATTAATTGGAAGTGTAAGGTATGGTCGGAGAATTAATATTAATAATTCAGGGTAGAATAAAATAGACTACATTGTTAGTGCCCTACGCTCTTAAGTGTTTGGTGAATTAACGTGAAGCAAATGAACATATATTTCTAATTCATGGCTATTTAATAAAATTTGATATTATATATGACATTGCTCACAACACAGGGTTTCTTCACCACAATCCCAATTCTTCAGCCCCTCTGTGGCTGTCTTGACAGTGTGCTTTGCAAATGAGGAAAACACACCATCATTTTTGGATACTGTGAGGCTTCTATTGAAGGGTAATTCCATTTTAGTGGTACCCAGTCCAGGAATTAGACTGTCCTTATCAATTGCCTACATGGATAATACTTTCAATGGGGGAAAACATACTGCAAGTTCCTCTTAGTTCGATGTAACCGCTTGCTCACCTCTAGCAGAATCCTGACACACAGGCAGATGCTTCCCAAGGGAGATGAAAGGCTGACAGAAATTCACAGGTGTGGGCTGGGCCCACCTTCCTCTCACCAGTGATTACTAAAAATAACCACTGGCCCTGCTGACCCAGGATGGACACTGCCCTAAAATACTTACTCATTTCACAAAAAGGAGACTCACTATGTGAAAAGTGAAAGTAAGTTCATATTTTCTGATGTTTTAATAAGAACAAGAGCAGAGATACACAGAGGACAAATTCTAAGTGGGCTAATGTGAAATACAAGATAGTCCCACATGATAGGCCACTGTAATAGTGTTTCAAATGGGATGTCATGCCTTCCTCTCCCCATAATGACTCATTAGGGTTCCAGAACATGATATGGCAAGTGGGGAGAGGGTGAGGGAAGCAGGGTCTTCCTTCAAAATCGAAGGTGTCTACAGGAAAGAGACAATTAGCTCAATACCTGCTCCCAGGACACCTGCTCAGACCTCTGGGCTTAACCCTGAGGCTTCTTTACCACTCTGACTATTTCATGGAGAGTTAAAGCCTTTGCTTTAGCTCTTTTTTCTTAGGAAACAATTTCAGTTATTCGCATGCAACATGAATGGATGTACCCTGTTTTAGACTGGTCTAAGTGCTGGCTGTCTGACTTCTCTGTGCCTCCAGCAGTTTTCCAGAGCACAAGCTGTGGAGAAAGACCTGCTGTGCCAAAGACTATATACAGCCAAAAAGCTATCTGTTTGACTCATCCTACAGGAACTAAAGCAAGTCCAGCCTGTTCTCATCACAGGAACTCTAGGAAAATCACAATAAAGGATTTCAAACATACTCTCAGAGTATATATTAAATGATACTAATATGATACATCTCTACCATCACCAGCTTTTTAATTATGGATTTTTTAAATCAGTTTTAGGGCCTGAACTCTTGGCGGGGGCGATATCCAACAACACTTCAGACCTGGAGCCACAGAACATCTTCTGGCTTTTTCTGCTTATGTAGTGCTCAGGAATTATCAGGTCATCTTGCATGCAAGGCAAGTACTCTACCACTGAACCACCTTCCCAGCCCCATTAGATAATTCTCAATCTCCCTAATGTGTCATTTGAATATATGAAGAAGCCCCCAAATAGAAGATAAACTTTGCATAGTCATTTAATAGACATGTTATAATATGTCAAACATGAGTTGTTTACATTAAATATATTAGAAATAAGTGGAACTTCTACTTTTAAATTTTTCTTCCTATTGTTTATAGCCTCTACAGTACCCAGTCCTCAAAGCAAGGGACCCAGACTCTTAAATTTCTTTCTCTGAAGGTCAGAAACAGAAGACACAAGCCTTGAGTCTCTTTAAACTAACTTCAGTCTTTACTCGTTTACTATAATAATTTGGAAGCCATTAGGAAGTGGAAATGTTAGAAAAGAAATTTTTAATTTGAAAATATAACTTTAGTAGGCATTGGGCGTCATCAAAAATGCATTGTAGTCAAAACCTGACAACTAAGGAATTCAAATGTGTTTGTACATCTACTTAGTAGGAGGAAAGAAAGAAAACAAGAAAGAAGGAAAGAAAAGAAAGAGTAACAGGACTTGTGAGTTCATAATGCATTCAACTGTTTAATCAACTAAAGTGTTATTTGCTCAATAGGAAAAGCAATGTATTTAGTAAAGCTAGATTGGCATTAATAGACTAATACATCTCCAGAGAGTGATCCTGTAGCTCCCTTCACATGGTTAGCGTGGACATAAATCCTTATTTTCAATGATACATTTCTGGCTTCCTCCCACTGAGGTACTGGGACTCAGGCATCTCCCTATCACAAGCCACGGCTCCTACACATCACAGAGGCATCATGTGCTACCTTGGTTACTTTACCCAGCTGTTCTGAAACTGCCTCATGGCTTTTCTTTGTTTATTTTAGTTTTGGTGATATTTTTCTTATGATCAGCTCACTTGACCAGTCACATGCTATTTTAAAACAAAATACTTTAAAATTAAAAACGATGAAATAATTGGAAATAATCTATGACCACCAATATTTCTTTTCTGACTGAGTTTTCCTCATCAGCATTTATTGTCATTCAATACAGGGAAAAGATACAAAACAAAATAAACACAAAGTTTTAGCAAGAAGAAGCTAACAAATGATAACTTGATGGGTCCTTTTCTTAAATTTCAGTATAACTAGTTTTGCAGCTATATGGAAAATAGCTAAGAATATAAAATTTTTGGAAGACACCAGAGTGGACTGACAATAGCAGACTCACCATCTGTCCTATGTAGACTAGCAAATCCAGGGCCGTGGCTGCTGGACAGCTCTGAGCTGCTGCTGAAGGATACCAAGCGCAAGGCAGAGGACAGTGGAGCATCGCTCTTGTCTGTACAACAACAACAAAAGACATCATCATCCCTCACAGGCTAGAGACACACTGAGAAAAATTTTCCAACTCTCTACTTTCTCACCTCCCTTCTTTTTTAATTAAGAGGTAGAAAACCGCTTGAATTTGTAGCAAACATCAGTTTTCACTGAGATATGCTAGTAACTGCTAACTACAGGCTCTCATTGATTATTAAAACCTGATGTGTAGCATTTGTTCTTTCTCATGGTGGAAGTATTTCAATTTGACCAGAATTGCACAGTTTCACATATCCCATGGCATTTTCTACATGCACATACATATGTAAATAGCCATTGTGCTTAAAACATAGGTATCATGAAATCAAGAACTAGTGGAGAGGTTTGAGAATTTACTTTCATTTTGCTTAACTGGAAGTTTATATAATTTTATTTTGAAAAACGACTGGTTTGTAAAAGTAATGATTGGCTCTGTATTGAAAGTTTCTAGACTTCCCTAAAACTATCTAAGGATTCATTAGAAGCCCAGTCCAGAGCCAAAGAAAATTTTTCATGCATTTCAAACAGCCCTACATGGCTCAGAGGTTGGAAACAAGTGACACAGGTTTGCCAATGACCTCTAATGAGTGAGAAAATCCTTCGAGGCACGGTTCACATAACAAACAAATTTATTTACACTATTTACACCAGAAAGGGGTCCTGTGACTACGTTGTCCTGGGCTAGATACCCAGAACCAAGAGCAGCCTCGACCATGAAGCCTCCAAGTCTCCAGTAGGCAGCCCCGATCTTTATTAGTTGGTCTGCAAACCACAAATTAGTCGGTTGTTCTGCAAACCTCCAACCCCAGACCTCCAAAGCTGCAAAGCTGCAAAGCTCCGAAGGGGAAGGCTTTTCCTTTTCTTCCCTTCCTCCTTCTCTGCAGCCTCTCTGCTCTCCACAGGCCTGCCCCGCCTGCGCAGGAGGCGCCTCTCCACAGGCCGCTCCAGAGAAAGGTCCCAGACGGCCCCTCGAGGAGGCCCCGAATGACCTCTGGAGGCCGTCCCGGATGGCTGTGGAGGCTGGCCTGCCTCCTCAGGCCTGCCCTGCGCTACTCGGCAGGCTGTCCCTGCTGTCGCCTCTCTTCACTCAGTGTCTCCCCTCTCCCTTGTTCTACTTCTTCCTTGCTCTCTCTCCCCTACCCTCCTCAGGACTCTCCTCCGGACTCTCCTCAGGACTCTCCTCAGGACTCTCCTCCGGACTCTCCTCAGGAGCCTCCTCAGGACTCTCCACAGGACTCTCCTCAGGACTCTCCTCAGGACTCTTGGTCTCTCCCCTACTCTCCCCTTCTCGGTCTTACCTCAGGACTCCTAACAGGCAGCCTAGGCACAGGCTGTGCCCCTCCCCTTTCGGCGGCTTGCCCCGCCCCTTCGGCGGCATGGCACGCCCCTCCTGTGGCACTCCCCGCGGGGCGGGGCCAGCTTCTCGATGTCCCGCCCCCTCCGGTGGCCGGCTGTGCAGCAGTGAGGCTCACCTCTTGATTCCCGCCCCCTTCAGCCGGCCGGGCCACGGAGCCATGCAGATTATCGGCGCCCCACTTATTATCGGGGCCACGCTGGTTATTGCAACATCATTTCCATTTTCACTCACCAGGGCCTCAGGCTCAGCCTTTCCTCCGGTCATGGGTGCGCAGGGCACACAGGTCAGCACCAGCTGTGTCTGTTACCAGGGTAACCACAGTCTCCACTGTGGCTGACACACTGTTGGCTCTTCTCATCCATTCAAAATAGCACACTTCACACACTCAGCGTGCAATTTGTTATGTGATGCGCTGATTGATATCTATGGATGCCTGTCACACAACAGTTTCTACGCTCAACAGCTTCAGTCTCAGGGCTTTTCTTTGCAGCCCTCTCTACATGTGTCCGGCTTTTACGAGTATTACTCTGAGACCATGTTCACAGGACCGGTAAACTTCTAACATGCTCCTGGCACAAGGAAGTGTAAAGAAAACCCAATTGTGGGCTGGGAAGGTGGCTCAGTGGTAGAGTGCTTGCCTTGCATGCATGAGGTCCTGGGTTCGATTCCTCAGCACCACATAAGCAAAAAGAAAAATGCCGGAAATGGCACTGTGGCTCAAGTGGTAGAGTGCTAGTCTTGAGCTGAAAAGCTGAGGGACAGCGCCCAGGCCCAGAGTTCATGCCTCAAGACCGGACCCAAAAAAATTAACAAAAGAAAACAGAAAACCCAATTGTTGAACTATTACTGTGGAAAATGGAAATTTCAGAACATTTTGGAAGGGAGAGGTTTTCTGCAGGCATAACAGTGGAAGGAACTCAGGTGCAATGATGTCTTCAGCAGACCAGTCTACCCCATTCCTTTTGTGTACAAAGGGATCCCAGGAAGGGAATCAGCCTCTCCAAACACATGGCATTGGCTGAGGCTGAGTGGGGATTCATTTCCTTCCCTGTTTAACTGAGCCACCTGCTCCATTTCCCCCCTACACCTTTCTTTTTCATGGCCTCTGGAAACAGCAGTCCAGCCCCCTCTCTGTCCCCTCTGCTCACGTAGTAATAATCTCGTCATTGCTGATTCCAGAACCAGACTACAGAAAGCTCTGGGCTAGGTACCAGGTGTCTGACCTTAGAATGCTTCTCACTTTCCCAAAGCCTGGATTTTCTCATCCACACAAGTTACTGAGAATCTCACACGGCTCACAAGGCTTGCTTTGCCTATTTCATGATGGTGAAACAACTCACCACACATTCAGTCCCCTGACATTTTCTGTGAGGACATTGTCCCCATGTAGGGAACGCTTATGATTTTGTCCTGTCTTCATATTCATTTTTAACTGTAATTGAACTACTCCTAACAGAGGCTGGGCCTGCTCACTGTGACATCCTTTCCAAAGGGGTCCAGATGGCAGCAAGAGCAAAACAGACAGATCTCGCTCCACTTTCCTCCAACTCCTTTTACAGAAACCACTCAGACATTTGTACTCACAATAAACCTGACTACATTCAGTTCCTTCTGGACTACCACATCCATGCTTCACACTCCAGGATAGAGCAACCCTGGGGCCCTATTTGGATATCACTTTGGGCACAATAAAAGCACAAAGATGTAGGGCCCCTTTCTTTCTCTGCCTGTACCCTCTGACCTCCATGTTTTCTCTCTCCCTGACTGTGCCCTGAGATAAATACCCTTTGTTTGTGATTCCTGATCTTCCTTTCCTTTATAGCTTCATTCACCCCTCTCCTCTGTGACCCGCCTAACTTCTCAGCTGTGCTCCCGACCTCCCTGTTCACGCTATGCCCTAGCCATTCCTGTCCTTTCCCTCTGCTGGGTTCTGACTTCCTTGACTGTGATGAGCCCTCCACTCTGAGTCCTGTCTACTGTGCCTCACGACCTCCCTCTCCTCTCTTTTCTGTCACCTCCTGACCTTCCTGATGTCTTTTGGCTATATCCCCTGAACTGTATCTTCTGCTGGCTCAGCCCCCAGCCTCTTTGTCCTCTGTTAGTGCTCCTTGTTCACTCTGTCCTCTCTCTATCATGGCCCCTGCCGGTGCGCTCTCTGCTGTGGTTTTGATCTCCCTTTCCTTCTCTGCTGTGCCCTGTCACCTTCACTGTTATCTGATATAACCTCTGACTCTCCTCACATCTGCTTTCTATGCCCTCTAACTTCATATCCTCTCTAACTTCTCCATATTCTCCCAACTATGATCCTCAACCTCCATGTCTTTGCTTTCTATCTGTTCACCTTGTCTTTCTTGTCTTGTCTCTCTGTTATGACACCTGGACCAATCAGCCCCCTCTCCTCCACTTTTGTTCAGGACCCCTGTGTTTAACCTATAGGCATATCTCACTCCACAGAATACAAAGTTTACTAAACCTCTAGAATGTTCTTCTCTGGTTCTGTTATTGAGTCTGGTCTGTAATCTGAGCCCTGATGTGGAGGCCACAAGCTAAGTTCATACAAACTCTAAGAAAGAGCAGATAACATCCATGGTATGAAACCACATTTCTATTTTCCTAACACAAAGTATGCAAAGCTTAGTGCAGAAAAAGAAATAATACCTATGCTGACACACTCTTCCCTTGAGAGGAACAATTTGATCAAGTTTTAATGAATTATCACTTATTTTACACTCTAAATAAGAGGCTTTAGAATCAACTCACATAATTGATTGCTAGTCACTTAGGGAAATGGAAGGGTTCACAAGGTGACACTTTCATAAGTCCTGACAGGAACACTGCTAATTACATACAGCACTGCCTCTAGCTGGCTGACATGCACACCACTGCAGGCTCGGGAGCCTCTGACATTCTCTTCAAAAGTTGATAAGAAATTGGGTCCCTCTGCTCATATCTGTAACTCTGACTACTCAGGAAGCTGAAGACTGAAGAGCCCAGTTCTAACCTAGCCTAGGAAGGAAAGTTCCTGAGACTTTTATCTCCAATCAACCACCAGAAAGCTACAAGTGTATGTGTGACTCAAGTGCTAAAGCAATAGCCTTGAGTAGAAAAACTAGGGGGTAAGTGACAGTAGCCAGGCCCTGAGTTCAAGCTGCAGTACCAGAACACACACAAAAAAGACCTGTTTTTGTTTTCTTTCTCTTGCTTCATCAGAAAAAATCTCAATATGAAAAACTGATGATGAGCCTTATTGATCAATAAAATTTCTTTTTCAATGGACGAATCCTGAAAAGCTTCAGAAGAAAAGAACCATTTCTAGTTATTTCCTTTTAACAAGTGAACTGACAAAACCAATTGGAGAACCATCACCTTAGGGGAGAAACAAGCTAGGTAGAAATCATAAGCTTGTAATCACACATGAAACTAGAGATTGCTACAACTAGGATTGAGCAATTTACTTCTTTCCATAAAACATAGTGTAAAGTGTGTCCTTATGAAAAAAATGCCAGTTTCCCAATTCACTCACTCCCTCTGAGGTTTAAATGTACTCAGGACACATTTCTGAGAAGCATAACAATTCTAAAGGAAAAGAGAAGCTCTTCATTCAGCAAAAAAACAGGTTGCAATCAAGTGAGGTGACTCTCAAATCACTGCCAATGCAGCTTAAATAAAGCAGGTCATTTGCATAAGGAACCAGATTTAATCTTTATTTCCTCAACTTGCATTATACTGCTTGACCCACAGTTGACATTTGATGAGTATTTCCTGACTACACCGACCACTGATCTAAGAACTTCTGTACAACTTTCTAAAACTCTCTGTTATCTACCCTATATATCACTCTGAACACATATTGACCATCAATATGCGTCTTTAATGGGCTGAAATAACCCTAAAAGGAGAGCTGTGCAGTCCTCATTTGCCAGGCCAGATGGGAGGTAGAGGAGTGACAGCACCAGTCAAGACAGAAGAGTCTAGGAACAAGGCTTACCTCTGCAGCCAGGCAGGCTCCCACAGCATTCACATCAGGACACATTCCCATCCCAGCTACATTCAACAACCCACCACACCCCACTTTCTGACAGGACCCATAACTTCTGCATGGTCTGTCAAGATTGGGTCCTTTTGTGAAATAAAATACAGAGAATAGGCAAAGCAGCAGTGTCTGCTTTTAAACACAGACTTGAAGGAGACTTTGAGAGCCCACTGCCCCAAAGCACTGAGTCCTGTGGCTGCACTTGCCTAGGCCTCCCAGGTCCTCTGGGTAGGACTATCAGACCCTGCCTGCCATTAATCAGAGAACCCTGTCAGGTAATTTCAAAAGCAATATAAAACACCTAGGGTATGTTACAAATATACAGTCTCTTCCCCATGTACACATATACTTCCACTCATGAAATTGTGATTTGCAAAATGTAATCTGCTTTGGGCTCTACCAATCCAGAATATTAAAGATACACTGGGCGGGTATATGTACAGTCAAGGGAGAAGGCTGTGTATAGAGGGAGGAAATATATGTATTCACATCAGAAGCACAGGGCTCTATCTGTGCAATGGATGGACTTCTAGGAATCACTTGTAGGGGTCACTCAATGATGTCAGCAGGGCCAGACTTAACCTGCAGTTTTCTTAGGACATCTCCTGTCTGCAAGAGGTTCTGGGACAGTACCACACAGATCGATTCCACATCAGTGACAGTGACCTCACAGTTTCAAAACAGAAGTCATGTTATGTTAAACCCAAACTTTCCCAATTCTGTAGTTTCTACGAAATTCTCAGATTCTATTGTGAAATGGTTTAAATGGCCACAGAACAATATATTATTCAATTTCTTTAACCCAGAGGATTATTTCCATTCTATAGAATCTGGAAAGCCACTTCCCTTACTGTTGCTTCACAATTCCATTGAAATTCTGGTCTAAACAATGAACTATGTGGATCCCAAGAAAACTATTGTTATTTACTAATATTTTAGTGTGGACAAAGATTATTACCAGTAAGCATTTGGATGTGTTTTGCAAATATTTTCTCCTTGTGGGGCATTTTAAAAAATAATAAAAAACGTGAGTACAAATGGCAGACATGTGGTATGGGTCTTAGTTTCTCTTTGGAGTGCCGTGAACCAGAACACAAGGTAGAGATCTCATGAACAGAGAAGTTGGGATCTGGTTTGTGAAACACCCCCTCCTTACCAGGGCCAAGCAGTGAGCTATGCAAGAATCTTCCTCAGGTGAGAAGTATGCTCAGACATCTGCTGTGGAAGCATAGCACATCTTGGGGGACAGGAGACACCCACTAGCCAGGACATGTGGCAGTTGCAGGTTCTGTAAAGTGTTGTACCCTCTCCCTCACAGATGCCTGAGCAGCCACTTCTGACCTTCACAGTGGCTGCAAAGAGCCAAAACCGCAAAGGAGAACACAAAGGAAGATATCAAGCATTTCAGGAAGGCACATTCCCAGGGGAAGAGCCAGAGTTAAGAAGGGCTCAACAAGCTAGAGAGAAGCCTGAGGAAGAAATGAGGAAAGGAGAAAACTCAAGGGCTGGAATTTCCAGAAGACTCTCAGATTCCAACAGTGCTGCCTAACATCACTCTCTATGCACATGTGACTCCTACCCCAGTACAGCTGTGTGGTCCACACGGAGACTACCATGGTTTAACAAATCAACAGTCGAGGAATAAGAATCACAGTTGTCCAGGCCACATTGATCTGACAAAATCAGCAGGATAATTCCAACTAATGGAAAGTAAGTGATATTGAAAGAGGTTATGCTTTTATATTATTTTTTAAAGGGGGAGGGAGTTTAAGTTGCTAATAACCAGTGACCTTAATAGCTAAAAATCAGAGAAATTATTTATAGAGATATAACTTTGTATAAAGTTGAGCCATGTCAATATAGTCTAGGAAGATGTTTTAATTTTGTTTGTTTTTTTGTTTCTTTGGGAGGTTGAACTCAGAGCCTCATGCTCATGTGTTTTCCACTCAAGTCTGGTGCTCTTCTATTTAAGCCATACCTACACTTTGGGAATTTTTTGCTAGTTAAATGGAGATAAGAGTCACAAGGCAATGGATGAGCAAATGCTGCAAGATTCTCACTGCACACTATGTTGAAAATGAACTATAGAGCTGTAAGTGGGGATGGGAGGGAAAAATTAGGACAGAGAGAGAGAAGGGATGACATTGACCAAAAAGGAATACTTTTTACCTGAGTTGTGTAACTGTAAACACTCTACATATCACCTCGATAATACAGTAAACATTTTTAAAGTCAAATCATTAATCTCAGTTTTAAAAAGAATTTAAGAAAGAAAGTCTCAGATGGTGGTGCTTCCCGTTACCTGTCTGTTCTCTGTGCCAAAGGAGTCTGTGCCCACCTGACAGCCCTGCATCTCTCTGGTCTGCTTACTGGGTAGAGAGCCAACTCCATACACCTATGATACTAATGCAGGACCAAGCCACCTGGGCCAGGGCCAGTGATATCTTTTAGTAACAAAGTTCCTGGAAGATTCATCCACACCAAAACACCAGTGAGGACACTGGCCTGATCTTCCTGTCCAGCAATCTCATCTTATTCTCTCCTCTCTCAACATGCCTGTTAACCTTACCACAACGAGAGCTTTCTTGGGGACTGCAAGACACCTGGGCTCCCAGAGTCAAAAGTACTTTCATCTTCCGGACTTAGGAGGGCAAATCAACTATAAACCACCTCGTGCTAGCTTCATTTTCAGAAGCAGGCCAGCCACGGTTTTCATAAAAGTTTATAATAATGCAATGGCGTTTTCTGTTTCTGGTACAGTTTTAAACGATTTTCTACACTCACGAATGTATCCCGCCACTCGTGGGTTCCAGGTCTGCATAGAAAGAATCACGAGCATCCTGAACACGGCGGTAGGGCCATGTCCGCGTCTGAGTGTCCTCCACTGTCCATCACTCCAGTCCTCCGCTTGGTGCTAATGCCTCCTTGCTGCTCTCTTCTCTTCTGTGTTTCAAGTAGCCAGAGCACACCAAAAATAAGCTTCAACCTGTAAACCCCACCCCAACCCTCCAGCACACTGCTCTGTGCCCTGGAGCCTGCTGAGCCTCCAACCCAGATGCTCCTAGGGACACTATCGCCACTTGGTGCCGCGAGTGCCTCTGCTGGTGTCCGCGAGGAAGTGCAGACCAGACATAAACCCCGCACATTTGCCAGGCTGAGCCTGGCCCGGAGCCCTTAGAGACTCAACTGTGCTCACACACTGGGTCCAGTCCATACCTCCTCTTCGACAGTTCAATATGCTTCGGACTAAGGAAGTGAGTTATGAGCTGAGTGATATTTGCATACAGTGCAAAATATTGAGCACTCCCTTAAAATTTGCATATTCATTTAAAATGAGAGGTTAGGACAGAATAAACTACTGTGGCTTTAAGGAAATAATCACATAGAACAAAAGCGTGTCTAGGGTTAGCACTTTACTATTTCTATTCCAGCTGGGAATGAGAGTTCTACACTAAATGACTAAAAAACTATTAATTTCTGGGCACCACTAGCTCATGTCTGTAATCCTACCTACTCAAAAGCAGAGATCTTAGGATCACAGATTGAAGCCAGCCTAGGCAGCAAAGCATGTAAGAATTTTATCTCCAATTTATCACACAGATACCTCTCTCCAAGAGTGGAGCTGTGCAGAGCACTACCCTTGAGCACAAAAACACAAAGGACAGCACCCAGAACCTGACTTCAAGCCCTAGATTTGGCACAGAATAATGAATTGAAAATAAACCTAATTTGAATATGGCAGAGGACATCAACTGGAATTTTTCCACAGCAGATATACAGCCCCATGAAACATCACTAGTATTTAGGAAAAGGCCAAACCACAGGGTCTCACCACTTTACCTCCACTAGGATAGCTGTTATAAAGCAAGCAGAAGCAAGTGGAGCTGTGGCTCGAGTGTTACACTGTTAGCCTTCAGCAAAAAGCTCAGGAAGAGGCTTCTGCCCTGGGTTCAATCCCATGATCAGCACACATGAAAAACCACACAAAAGAGAAAGTTGAGGTTGGTAGTAACTGGAAGAACATGGAGCCCTAGTTCCTTGCTAGTTTTTTATTTAGGTTGTTTTGTTTGGCAATAGTATGATTTGAACTCAGGACCACATTAGGCAGAGTTAGGGTCCCATTATTTTTATGGCTCTTTAGTTATTTTTCAGATCTTTTTCAGTTATCATTGTGATAGTTTTCCTCAGAGCGGCTTTGGACTCCAGTCCTCTACTTCTGTCTCCTGCTTAGCTGGGATTACAGATAAGAGACCGAGTCATCATAGGCCATTATTCCATTTCAGCAGGAAGCATCTAGACATTGACAATAACTCTTTTTAAAGAAATTGGTGGGTACAATTGCGAGTGAGGAAAATGTAATAGGACCTGACATCTGAATATGTTTACATGTGAGGATTTAGTTCATGACTAGACCAAGATGCCTCCAGTTACTTGAATTTTTCAAAGGCAGCATTTTTCTCTTCTTTCTCACTCTCCTATCGCCCCACCCACACACCTAATTGCCATTCCCTAGAAGAGGAAATTCAGGATGATTCTCATACCTTGAGTCAAGGTCACCACACTCCTCTCCTTATCTTGCTTTCCAAGGTATTGAAGGAACATTTAGGACGATGACTACATCTCTGGAGACTGCTGGTTAACACATTTGGAAATAATCAGGCCCAAGAACACCATTAGGCTGGACCTTCATGCCTCAGCGCTTAAATCCATCAGGAAGTCCATGCTCCTGGGTGTGTCCATAAAAACCTCTTTTTTCCCCTACCCACAAGTTCTGCTCTTCTTTCTCAGACAATAGCTCAAGTAGGTCTCATTTTGCCTGCAAATTAATATACCTTTATTTCCTTTACGCTAAGACATTAATCTCACTGACATTGAATTGACATTGAATTCAGGGAACTGAATTTTCAGTAACACAGGAGAGTTGGGAGCTGAAGACTACAAAGCAAAGTGAAAAACACAAATTGCAGAGTAAACTCTAAATTTTCAAAACTGATAACGACATAGACTATAAGCAGTGATCTCCAAAGAAACAGGTAATATCTGAGTCAAGGGGAAAGGCAGAGGAAATGGATGGAAGAATGCCTCTGACAGGTTGAGCAGGTGAATTTGGAGGTAGGAATCTAGAGGGCCCAAGAATGAAGGACTTGATGAGCTAGTGGCAGTGGTAGGGCTTTGTGACACATCACTCTTTCCCCTTTGTGACTTAGTAGAAAACCAGGCCTTTGTGATGTAGGCCTTCATTTACTATATATTGCCAAAGAAACTCCCAGAGCTCAGTTGCTCAAGAGCAATAGTGCGATTCAGATGATGGAGAATCCTCTCTTGTCACTGAAAAGCGTTGCTATTCCATGGCTGAGCCCTGAACTCACCACCTTTGCAACGGATATGATCCTTGCCATTGTGGGTGGGGTGGGGCTCTACCTCCTGCTACTGCTACTTCCCTGCTTCAAGGAAAATCCATCCTCACCAACACCTGAGAGAAAGAACAAACTGACTAAGGTAAGATCTCTAAGGGCAGACCACCCAAAAATAGGTAGGTAGGTAGGTACGTAGATAGATAGATAGATAGATAGATATAGATAGATAGATAGATAGATAGATAGATAGATAGATAGATAGATAGATAGATAGATAGATAGATAGAGACACACACACACACATTGGAATTTTACTTATCAGTTAGACTGATGCTGTAGCATTTGTATAGGAATAGAAGACTTGGGAAAATTAAGTGAATTAAGTCAGTCCCAGAGAGACAAAGGATCCATGTTTTCCTTGATATGTGGAAGGTAGATTTAGTGTATATACTCAACAAATACGGAGGATGTTACACATGTGTACACAAATGTATTGACTGAGATATGGTAGAGTCAAAGGAGATTTTAAAGTGGAATTTATTAGAAAGCCAAAAGTCCAAGTTCAGTAAAATAGAAAAATCAGAAATGTGTTGTTGACAGGGTGGGGAGGGGTCAAAGGGAAAGGGGGGTACTCAATGGAGAAGAGGGGGATATGTAGACAAGAATCCAATATATAATCTATCACAGTAAGAAAGAAAGAGCTGATTTGCGGGGGGGGGGGGGGGACACACTGCAGAAAGAATTAACAGTTATACCAATTTGTGAAATAGCAACTCCCGTGTACAACTGCTTGATAATTTTTTAAATGGTTCTTTAGTTTACTGATGTTTGCACTTCTCAAAAACAAGTAACAAAGCCTCTAGAGGGGAAATTCCAGAAAAAAAGAGAGACATCTTCTCCTAGGAACTATCAGCATACAGGGCACAATGTCAGTAGCATAAGGTAGTATTCTGAGTTCTCAGAACAGCTGTGTGGAGTGCAGCAAGTACCAGGGTTAATTCAAACCCTGAAACTCAGCAACCAAGGACTGAGGTCCTGAGAGCTGAGGACTTGAACACTCAATCCTATGTCACAGCAGGTGCCTGAAAACTGCACTTTCCCCAGTGTTAGGCTGATTAGCGGACTGTTCAAGGCCCATGTCAACCTCCCATCAGAGGATAAGGTCACCTTTGGACTCAGGAAGGAAAAGCCAACCTGGAAGCTGAGAGGCACCTGGAAATCAGGTTCTTGGTCCTTAGAACAGAAAAAGCACTGAGGTGATCTTTGTTGTCTATCTCATATAAGAAAAACAGAAATGAGCTGGGAAGGTGGCTCAGTGATAGAGCACTTGCCTTGCATAGGTGAGGCCCTGGGTTCGATTCCTTACACCACATAAGCAAAAAGCAAACTGCCAGAAGTGGTGCTGTGGCTCAAGTGGTAGAGTGCTAGCCGTGAGCTGAAGAGTGCCCAGGCCCAGAGTTCAGGCCCCATGAACCAGACCCTGCCCCCAAAAAAGAAAGAAAAACAGAAATAATTAGCAGCCACACTAACTGTGAAGAAAGGAAATGCAGGGACATAGGTGAAGACATCATTTTATCCAGAAACACCAAATATCTTAAACTTGTCTAGGGAAAGGAAAAGAGTAAAGAGGTCTAAGTCACGTTTTTCTCATCTCTCAGTATCCTGTGGAGAAACGAGGCCAGATCAAGTGCAGGAAGAAACGTGCTGCTCTGAAAGGTAGGCTCCGCAAGTTCTCCCAAGGGGATTTGATCTCGGTCTCTGTCAGCAAGAGTCAGGCCACCAAGTATTTCAGTGTGTAAAACCTTAGGAGGAGAGTCCTGGGAAAGAAACCAGAACTGGAGACATTTTTCAGGTTCTCTGCATGGAATGAAGCTGCGACATGCATCATAACAAATGGGAGGGGCTGAGAGGCTGTGAGGTCACACTGATGATGTGGAGGTGTGTCACACAGGAGGAGGGGCTGAGAGGCTGTGAGGTCATACTGATGATGTGGATGTGTGTCACACAGGGGGAGGGTCTGAGAGGCTGTGAGGTCACACTGATGATGTGGAGGTGTGTCACACAGGGCAGGGCTGAGAGGCTTAGAGGTCACATTGATGATGTGGAGGTGTTTCACACAGGGGGAGGGGCTGAGAGGCTGAGAGGTAACAGTGACTTGATGAGGAGCTGGGAACTTCAAGCCCACATGTGGCCCAATTCAATTCCCTAAAAACTGTATGAGCAATGAGATGTCCTTTTTCCGGGTGCCCCAAGAGGTGGTGCAGATGATGGAGGTTTGCAGGCCGGTGGTCCCTTGTAAATAAAGAAGCACTACCCCTCTATATGCCCTCTTAGCACTGGTACACATCTGGCGGCCATGGATACAGATCTGGGATCCAATGTGATCTTCCATGTTCTTTAATAGACAGATGTTTCCTTCAGCCTCCTGTAGGTTCCAGAGGCCCTCCCTTATCTGCCCTAACCACCATCTGTTTCTAGTTTGCAGAGAGATTCGGGAAGAGCTTGAGGAGATGCATGACTTAGCTTCCCTTCTGAGTAGGTAAGGTTTTCCCCATGTCCCTGTGCCTGCATTTCTACCCCAGAGAATGGAATTGTCTTGGGGTTGAGGAAGACTTTAGGTTGGCCTGGGATGTGGCGGAAGCCACAGGATGTAGAAAAGCAAGGGCTGTGTAAATGTCAGGGTGTGGTACTGTGGGTGCCCTGGACAGCAGGTAAATACCCTTGCCCATACTGGGACTGTCTGTTGCTGAATGAAGTTTGTCTCCTGTCTCCTACAGCGCCCTAGGGAAACTCGATGACACTGGAAGCTTTCAGCGTTTCTTAAAAGGAGATGCCTTAGGTGAAGTTTTCAACTCAGAATCTGCTACAGCCCTCCCGTCAGCGAGGGACTCTGAGGAGGACACTTTCTCCAGCACTGTGTCCCTGAAGGCTTCCCCATCTCCTTCACCCCAGGGCTTGCAGCCTCTGGCCTCTACCTTGTCACCAGTCCACATGGGTTCCTCAGTTTCTGTTGAGTCACACTCATCCCAGAGTGTGTCTCAGCCTCCGGAGCCGTCGATTGCTCTAGGAGAAGGGTCTTTTCCCTGTTCTCATTTTCCTCCACCTGTGGCCTGCACTCCACCCAGGCACGACTCACACTCGGGTCTTCCCCCATGTGACATCAGGGAAGTCCCACCAGAAACCACCCCACAGAGCTCTCCAACCAACAGCTCTCGGGTGCCTTCTCCTATCCCAACCCTCAACTCTGATCTCCTGGAGTTGCCATACAGAGTAATTAGTAAGAGGGCAAAGCTGAAATCAGCTTCTCAGGAGAAAGAACACCCTCTGGATTCTCGGGGGAACATGATGAAGTCACTAGGCAGTGCACAAGACACTGCCATCCCTCAGCCCTTCTGGAACACCGAGGGAAAACCACAGCAGCTTCCTGATTCTCAGGAGCTGTTTTTCCCCATGGTCTTGCAGAAATGCTGCCAACTGTTCTGGGGCCTTCCCTTCCTGCACAGCGAGTCTCTGGTGGCTCCTGTCCAAATGTCTGGTCATCCACTAGACTTACCCTTTATTTTATTCAATAGTTTCTTGCACTTAGTGCCGGTACAAGTCCAAGCTAAAGTACCTCCACCGTACTTTCTACCACAGCCTTTACAGCACCATTTGGTCAAATCACAACCCTTCACTCCAACCGTATCCTGGCCTCAGCCTTCCTCAGTGGCTGAGATCCAGACCTATGCCCATGGCACCTTCTGTACCCTAATACAATCCTGTACTTCACCTCCAGTGAGGTCCTGTACAATCCCCCCTGTTGTTCAACAATTAGACCATCATCTCAAGAAGAAACACCTACAATGTCATAGAACTTTACCCTCTGTGGTCAAACAGTCTCACAAAACCTTTAGTCAAGAACAGGGTACCTGGAACCAGAGAGGCTTTAGTGATGATTCCAGTGATTTTATTAGGCTAGAGATGAGGAAAAAGCTGGAACATCACCTCCAAGGGAGGATCCTACAGCACCTATGTAAAACAAATCACAAGATCCAGCTGTCACCTAAGAATTTGACAGGAAGAGATCAGACAGACCACAAACATGCATTTTTACAAAACTCTACATCTGTAGAGAATTGGTACCTGAATATTCAGAAAACAACCCCAGAGTGTCCAGTATCCCAAGGATGGAAGAACTCTAGAACGGATCTGCAATTCTCTATGAAGAGAGTAGTGAGAGCTCTAGACAGGAATGCAGAAAGCTCCTCAGGGGATTTTCTAGAGGCCAAAACACAGAAAAAATTAGAAAGCGACATGATGAGACCAAGTAGTGATTCAGGATATTTTCCCCCAACTCATTCAAATAAGAACTATCTAGGAGAAACCCCAATAGCACATCTCATCACTAAATGGGAGCAGACCTGTAGCGACAAGGTCCCTATGCATGTTTGTCATTACCGGGGCAAGACAAATCATGCCTTGCCCGCCCGTGGTAACTCCAACTCTAGCAAGAACACTGGCGGAGAACGACCCTTAAATACCAGGGAAACCTGCAAGAGCTCCTCCCAGGAGGTTTCCCACATTGATGCTGCCACTCAACAGCTGCTAGATGTGCATATCAAGAAGCTTTGGGCAAAGCACCAGTGGGGCTTATGCCTAAAAATTCTCAAACCGATAAACATCCTTACTCTGAAAAAGGCTCCCCCTTTACCAACTTCACAGGGAGCTTCACCCTACATGGCCTGTAGTAACTTCAAGGCCTATCACACAGTGAAGGAGGGTGCATGCCAGAGAGAAGCCCTTCCCAAAGAACAAAAGAGCAAAGAAAGAGAAAAAACTGAAGGCCATGCCTTACAACCTTCTCAACCTCCTTCACAACCTGAAACCCCGAGGGGAACACAGGATAATCATAACTGTGGTCCCTTGGAGGTCTCTCCTAGTGGAGAGGAATGTAGACTGCTTTCTGAGACTCCATCTTGTATCTTACTAGGAAGAAAGTGGCACCATAACATTGTGCCAGAATCAGAAGGAAGCAGTTTAGAAACAACAAATAGCCCAGAAATGGGCATATCTGCAACAAATGAAAAAAAAAACCTCTGCCACAGTGTGTCCATTAAAGAGGTCTTTGTTACACCCAATTCTGAGTACACAGAAGGTCTCATGGAAATGGGAGAGTATAAAAAGCCCACTAACCTGGATTTCAATAACTTGAAACTCAGAAATTCAGAACTAGTGAGGACCACTGAAACACTATTACCACCGAGAATTTCAATTTCCAACTATCCACTTGATTCATACTTTAAAGAACACACAGGATCAACCAGTACAAGCGAAAGCACCCCTTTTGATGATATCCTTCAGGACTGCAATGCTGACCCATTCCTGCAAGGTGGTGCCCCCGAGATGCTGATTGCTGACGACATGTTTGCTTCTCAGAGCTCTCTAACTAGCTCAGAGAACCTTTCTGGAAGCAGCACATCCACTTTCTATGAGCGACGCACTCCCTTGCCAAAGGGAGTGCAAATCATGAAGCAGCAAGAACCTAAGACATCTAAACTCCAGCAGCCATGGTACAGCAAAATGTTTCATGGGCATAATGAGACACAGAGCTGTGAGAGGCCCAAAGCTCCAACACAGAAGGCAAAGCCAGCAGGAATGAGGCCCTCACAAGGCTGGAAGCTGAACTCTCCTGCCCAGGTTAGGAAAACAAGAACTGTGAAGAACTCCAGCCTACCTGTGTCAGAGAAAGCACAGCATCCCCCGGAGAGTCAGTTCGGAAACCGAATAATGAAGTTTTTTATGTCTATTTTCCCTAGAAAAGTCTACAGTCAGGCAGACTCACTGTCAAATTCAAAAATCCAGTCAGCCAATAGCAAGAACCAAGACTTAACAAGCAGAATCCAAGACAGTGGAGGGCCTGAAGCCCAGACACTCAAGAACACCATTGGGTGAATCCTAGAAAAAAAATTCACGTTAGGCCTTCTGCCTCCAACAAAACTTTCCACAAAGAATTTCAAGCCCTCACAGATAGACATTCCCACTCCTACATGGCTCCTCCTTACCAAGGAGGAGTCCAAATGAAGACCAGCAGGGTCTCTTCCCCAAACCAGCCACACTGTCCATAGCCGTCCTCTCAATGACAGAAGGCTCTCAAACCATAACAATGCTGGGACAGACTTGCTTCCCAGAAAGCCTGTGTCTCTATTCAGCCATGCCTGACAGCATAGGCCAAGGGAGACACATGTCCCAGGGCAGCATATCCATTGCCCAGGGCAATGTCCTCAGGGTGGGTTAGGCAGTCATGCATATTATGCTTAGCATGTACTTCCTTGCGAGGCTCCTTTTTGTGAGGACTAACTCCAGTCCATGCAAAGCAAATCTGCTTTTTGTGAATGAGTACAATCTCTGTCTCCCCCTCAAATACATATTGCTTAATACAGTCTTTGTGTGTCATGAGATGTACTGACTTCTCTTTGTGCCTTCGGCTGGTGTAAGGATGGGCAGTCTGTGGTCTTCCTCAAAGAAGCTTCTAGAAGGGATGGGCAAATGACATAATGCTAGTGAAGACTCAGCCTCAATCCCCCCTTTTCCCTATCCTGTTATTTAATCAGTACAAAAACTTCACAAAGCCTTTTGGGGTTGTCAGGATGAGGAAGCCTGGGAAGACAGCTTACTGGGATGTTCCTCAAACTAATGAACTTGGTTCGGTTGGAACATTATCTGTTGTACTTGCGGGCTATTCATCTAGGACAGAATGTTGACTAGCAAAGCCTATGTTTGTCTTATATCTGCCATTAACGCTTCTCTGGGAATCTTCACAGAAGCTGTCTCAGCCACTGTAGGATAGGGGTCTGTAGGGACAGCCATGCTGCCATTCATGTCTAGTGATCCTTGGTGCTGTTGGGTCACTGGTTTAAGTTGCATTGAATTCCAGAAAGCATAGAAACAGATCAATCAGCCTGTTCTCCAGAATGTTGGCTGTTGACTAATGGTTTATTGAGACTTTTGGAATTAGATACTAAAGCCTTATGTTGTTACTTTTGCTGGAATGTAGAATCCTAATCATGGATGGAGAATAGTGTAGTTGGTTTGAGAGAAAGTATGGGATGTTGGCCTTGTCCTGACCTGAGCCACTTTGGGGGACAAGATTTTGATCTCAGACTCAGGAGTGAGTTGGTTTGCAGGCAGGAGCCCCAGGTGCCCAGCAATGTACCTGCATATTCTTTAAAGCTCTATAAGCTGAAAGTTGAACTAGGAATGTGTTACAGGAAACAAGTTTGAGTTGTTTCTTCTATGGACTCAGGCAGTGTACACCAGAAACTGCATAGAGAGCCTAGGCCCAGTGCTGGTAGGTACATTTCTGCAACACGTGGTTTTAACATAAATCCACATACCATTTTGAATTAAGCAGTGACAGTACAATGATCCCTGCTGATCCACCTTATTAAAAAAAAAGGGTATGTTGACTAGGGTCCGGTATAAATACAACTTTAGAATCCCAGGATCAATAAACAGATGGTATCCAAAAAATCATAACTTCCTTTCTGAAGGTTGGTGACAACACTGAGAATGTGTGGGTTTTTTTTTTTTTAACATGGACCATCTGATGCTGGGAAGGAATGTGAGAGGATCTGAGCAGAGGATGTTCCCCTTGCATCACATGACTCCACATCGACATCAGTCCAAGCTTGTTCTGTTGTGTTGTATCTCCTTCCAAAAGCTACTATCATTTCAGACAAGCTTTGATATTCAATCAGTTATATCAATATTGAAGAGCCCATGGGCACATTCTACTGGAATCTTGTTACCTTTGTCCTAGTAACAGCCATAATATATCTGCAGGAACCTTTGTTTAAATAGAAACAATACTGGCTTAAAAATAGATCACTGTATGTTGAAAATGAACTTTACAACTTGTAGGTGGGTATGGACGGGAAAAACAATTGTCCAAAGGAAATGTACCCTTTACCTGATATTTGTAACTGTAAAGCCTCTGTGCATCACCTTTATAATTAAATAAAATTATATGACATGAAAAAAAACCATCACTTGCCCCTTTTAGGCCTCAAACCATTTGGAAGCCAAAATAAATTCAGAACACGAGGCATGTTTAAGGAAATTTGTGTTTTTCTCTTTTGTGATTTTTTTTGCTTCATATCAGACCCATACTGGGTGCTGAAGAAAAGATAGGAACACTATCATGATTTATGATTCTAAAAATATATAAGAAATGTTACTGTCAAGATTTGCATCAAACACAAGTGATTTAAGAGTAAATATCTAATTAATATTTCAAGGTTTTCATTTACATTAAATTGCCCATGTCATTTCAACAAATGTTATTAATGCATTTACACACACACACACACATACACACACACACACACACACACACACAAATACACACCACTCCACTGTAATCCCCTTTTTATATCATTGCCCTTGGTGGTTTGGTTGTTTTCTCCTAGTTTCTACAAATGAGAGAAAACTATGTGATATATGTGTTTGTGGGAATGGCCTATTTCACCCAATATGAAGATCTCCAGGGCTATACAATTTTTAGCAAACTACATCATTTCATTCTTAATGACCAAGTAGTGGATACTTTCCTTATCTGTTTTCAAAATAAGGTGGCAAATACATGAACAATTGTTCAACATTTTTAGGCATAAAGGAAATACAAATCAAAACCACAACAAGAATGGTTATCTCAAGAAAACCAATAAGAGCTGGGCACCAGTGGCTCAGGCCTGTAATCCTAGCTACTCATAAGGATGAGATCTTAGGATCATGCCAGAAAAGTCCATGAGAGATTTAAAAAGCTAGAAGTGGTACTCTGACTCAAGTGCCAGAAGACTATCCTTCAGCAATGAACTCAGGGATAATGCCCAAACCCTGATTTCAAGCCCCAGAGTCAGCACACACACACACACACACACACACACACACACACACACACACACACACACACACACATGCAAGCACGCACGCACACAAGCGCACACACACACACACACACACACGCACGCACCCACACAAGAAATATAACAAATGCTAGTGAGGTTGCAGAGGGAACAGAATTCTTATTTACTGTTGGTGGGAAGGTAAACTAGTCTATTGAAATTAGTTTGGAGTTTTCTCAAAAACCAAAACCAGACCTCATATATAATCCATCCATACCACTCTAGGAACAGACCTCCCTCCTCAAAGAAAATCAGTCAGCTTACTATGGAGATATCTGTACAACCATGTTGTGAGATGCACAAAGAGAAATAGCCAAATCATCAAACCTCTCCCAAGTTTTACAAAACAATTCCTTGATTAAGAAACAGTGGATTTTCTATTTCTATGTGCTATTTGGCCATGTGCACATTGAAAATAGAGGTCCTATTTAGTATCTTTAAAGCAAAGCTAAATATCATTTTTTATGTCATCCCTTTCATTGTTCTCCATCATCCCCTCTCAACACCATTTCTTATCTAAATTTTCTAAGTTGTGCACTGAATTTTATGACTGCCTTATCCCCTCCTTGCCTCACTTCATTTGTTTACTTCTTTCATTTTATCCCACTACCCCTACCTTTAGAGTACATTTTCCTGGTGTTTATTTTGTTTGTCCATGAATTTGTCCTTCTGAGAATTGTACCCTTAGGGTTCTCCCCTGGATCTAGTGAATACTGGTTTTTAATTGTATACTTTTTAAATTTACTTATTTTCCTAAAGCCTAAACCATAAATTTATGGCAAGGGAGTGGGAAATAAATATGATCCCTTTTCATAAGATAATCCCTAAAATACTCAGTTATTAACTGCATGGAAAACATTAGACACATTCCTGATCTACCAACAGATAGTAAACCAATGAGTTGAGCAAAAATATCAATTACTCAGTATTAGGAAGGCTGAGAACTACAGTGTAGAAACTAATGGTTCAATCATATCTGTTTATATTAAATCACATCATTCTGAAATTTCACTCTTGGTAAATTGAAATCAAATTTGAAACCACAGCAGTGTGTCCAGTGCCTCCAATGTGTACAGGGTGTATGGGATATGCGTGACTTTACAACCCATGGTTTCAGAATGTGAGATGTAGAGAGAGTGGGCTTTCTGTGTGGAAATTAATACATATTCAAGCACTTGTGAGGAAGAGCAAAGAGACATAAGTCATCTCTGTTACTTCCTAGTTAATTACATACCTCTGGCAAGATCATGTCCTTGTCACCATACCTGCACTCAGTGTTCATGACTGATGTCACCTACAGCTAGGAGGCAGTAGTATCTGAAATCCTTCACAGTTCCTTAAGTAGCAAGACTGTGGAAACAAAAAGACAACCAACAAAAGCAAAATGCAGAATGAATTAGAATGAAACCCTCACAAAATTTACTGTGAATAGATTTTTCTGAATGTTTGGGGGATGGAGATCTCAGTGAATTATAACTTGTAGGGAAGGACATTAAGAAAGGAAATAAAGATGAATATCACAGACTGTTCTTTTGTCATCAATTTTGCAGATTTCATCAGCTATACTTTATATGAGAAATATGAATGAACTTTTAATTTATAGCAATTTAATGTTAATGTTGAACATTGAAAGCTTGTTCATGTTTCAAGGTGTGAAAAGTTAAAATTATATTGAATTGGGGTTCTCTTGCAAACAGTGTATCTGACACCAAATCTCAAACATCAAACTGGACCTCTAGAAGAACCTCAGAGACAGATTTCAAAAGTAAATTCTAGGAGCATTTGATTCTGTGTAAAATAACACCAAGCCATTGCTATCTCTAAAATATCCAGATTTTTCTTTTAGACAACTGGAAAAACTGGAAAAACTGACCAAAATATAGTGACATGTCAGGGGTCACAATGTGCAACCCTTAGGATGGGGCCTCTCTTCTCCTGCTCTGGAGGAATGCCTGTGTCTCAGCACAGGTCTCTAATCCCTGCACTCAG